GCAAAAGTTGATTCATCAGCCGCAGGATACAGGCAACCAAACAAATAAACAAACAAACAAACAGAGCTGGATGAGTTCAAACGAGCTTGAGTTTAAGTGTGTGTGTGTGTGTGTGCGTCAGCAGAAAATAAAATAGTGAAAATATAAAGCACAATACCACTGCAGCGACACATCCTTGAAGCCATCGCACATACAAAAATATACATATACTCGTAGAGAGCGAGCAAAACGAGCGCTCAGTCACGCAAAACGCCAGCGCACTTTGACCTCATTTTGGGCAACGTTTTACGCTCGAATGTGTGACCCTGCCACGCCCCCTTTGGCCCCACCAATCCCTCGAAACCCCGCCATCGACATGTGTTTGCGCAAGTTCTCCTCTTTCGTCCGTAATGATTTCAGCGCACAGGAAGCAAATTAAATCAATAAGTTGGCATATCATCGCTTAAACAGGATAAACTGCAGATTGCATTTTTAGTGCAGTACGTTCTTTCTTTTTTGCTATCTCTTGAAATCGTTTCGAGTGTTCGTTTGTATAAATTGCATGTAATTAAGCCATTTTTGACCAGTTAATAAAAATGCATAAATGAAAGCGCATTTAATTTAATAAACGCGGATATTGAGAGTGCTAGAGCCGCAACAAAAGTGAACCGATATGCAAATTTTAAAAATTTTTTAACCTTAAACTAATATGATTTATTTGTGCTTCCCCTATTAATATGCTCATTTTAGCTAAAAAAAATCATTTAAATAAATATTATTATAAAATACGTTAGTGAAACATGGCCAGTAATGGAATAACAAGTGCAAAGTAAATGTAAATGATGCCAATTAATTTACACCAACGTAATAAAAAGGTTTTGTTTTGTAAATCAATAATTTAATTACAAGCCTTTAATGTGTCGCCACAAGAAATTACCAATTACATACAAATTGCATTTAAATGCACGAAAAGGATCAACATAAAATCGTGCTGTAAAGAAACCTCAGCGATTACGAATCAAGTTTATTCAATGTATATCCTTTATTATTTTTCAGTTTATTATTACATGATTTTTCAACCATTTATTTAATTAAATTCTGTGCAAATATTGAAGCAAACCAAATACACAAGAAATTTGATAACACAACAGTTTTATGTTATTAAAACCAAAAACAAAAGAAAAAAAGGATTAAATAAAAATGTTACAGCAAGGTTGGGAATTTATAAAAAGTGTGCACAATCAAAATATTTGATAATATCAAAGCAAAGTCTAGTTTAACAATTTTATGAAACACAAAGCAACTGTTGTATTCATGTCACTTGCAAAGTTCAAGGCTTAACGGATATAACACAAAATGCATAACAATCTCGGGAATTTATAAATAAATATATGAAATAAAATATAGTCAATCAAAGACCGAGGAAAGCATTTTGAAGTTGCCTGACTGCGTGCAAGGAAGTGGTTCATTTACGATGGATTTATGACATGCCGCTGCGGTAAGGAGTTATTTATTAAAATAAAGACTTGTATAGAAAATTAAGTTGCATGAGTATCAGTCAATTAAAACTCCTTGCACGCTTCTTCTTTGGCGATGCACTCGCTGCCTAACTAAGAAACAAATAATTTGATTGCCCCAGCAAGTGCAAGGCTAATTAAATAATAACTATATATACAATGGCCAAATAACAGGCAATTATAATGCATATGGAGCCGGCCAGACGGAAATCCCGGGGAAACAGACAGCCGAACAGTCATAGTCCCAAAACAAAACTAAACTCAAAACAAAACGCATTCAGCCAGGCGTATAAATTTCATTTGGTATTCTAAGCCATGTTACTGGGCATTAGGCGAATGTGAGTGTGTGACATAAACTATTGCTAAATGCAAACATTTATAGTTTCATTTAATGGCTCAGTGTTTCGCTTCGTCGACGGACAACGGACGACAGGCATTAAATCATTTTTAAAGTGCTTGCAAATAATTGAATTTGTTAGTGCGAAAATGCTCGCACAAACCTTGTCTGTTTTGTCTTTTGTCTCTACAGTGAGTATGGACTATCAAGGATAGGATTAAGTGAGGTTTTCGTATATTCGAATAAATACAATATATTATATATGCATAAGAAATTGCATTTTAAGTAAATAATGTGCAACGGTTTCAAGCTAGTTTTCAATCTGTTGCCTTAATTATTAAATTGTTCCTTAGCAATTAGTTTTAATTAAAATGTGACAGTTTAAAATTTTGTATTTGCATAAAATGGTTCATATCCGTATATGAATAAATGACCAACAGCTTAAGTTATAGCACTGCTTGATTAGATTGGTTAGCTTTACTCATTTATTAATTGAGCAAATTATATTATTCACTTAAGTTGTGATTTGTGTATGATTTTGATGAATTTGGTTTTAGAATGACTTCTTATATTAAAAATATGTTAAAATAATAATAGTAAAGGCTAGTTAGAAATGTTATTTTGAAGATTTCTTTATATTTATAGATATGGTATAAAAACTGCAGTTGTCCTCCATTGATAGAAAAAGAAGATACAAAAGAAAATATTTTTCAGACTTTAATCTTTGTTTTTCTTAGCCAATCTTCGCTGTGAAGTTTAGTCGCATTCAGGCGTCTAGTGAAGCAGAACACAACGGCTAAATGCCTGCAGCATTCGCTTCGTCTCTCGACCTTCCGCCTTCTTTACCCCTCTTTTCCACCTCCTTTCTCGTATCCTTTGTCTTGCCACTTGCTTCCTTGGTCCTGAAAATGTCAAGAATCCTCCCACGCAGTTAGCAGTGCTCATTCATGCATCCTGACTTCTATTGTGGGACACACACATGTGTAGGTATGTTTATGTGGACATACTATATGTGGAAGATATATACTTCACACTTGGCGTACGCGACCGTGACGCTAACAGCATCAAAGACTAGAACAACAATGGCAAAGGCCATTGTTGTTGTCTTTGCCATTGTCGTCGTCACTTAATATACAAATTTCAGTAAATATTTTCCACACACACACAGAAAGACGCACAAGGAGTGCAATTTCCTCGAGCTGCATTCGCTCTGCACACGATTTTCCTTCCTGTGCCCTGCCCCCTGCCCCTCATCCATTTCCCAATTCCATTTCCATTTTCTGTCCCGCGAGTTCCTTGGGCAACAATTCGTTCAATTTCATGCAATCAAGTTATTTTAATTCATTACCCTTACGCGACCAACACTTGGGAGACATGCACACAACACCAGCAACGTACACCCAGTGAAACCCCCTCAAATACCCCCTTCAACCCCCTTTTAGCCCCCTAGAACACCCATCGATCCCAGCCATTGTCCCTGCAAGTGCATGTGCATTTTGCCTTACGACACTTGACATTTACATGCACTAACGTTGGAACACTGCAAAAAAAATTAAAACGTTTTAAAAATACATTTTCATAACTTAAAGATACTTTTCAACACCAAATTAAAAGTATTCAGATTATATCTGTTTTATTTTTAACAACTAAAATAATAAATTAAGAAACGGAAAACAAAAGAATTTCATGTATTAGAAAACACAATATTGATACTTCTTAAGTTTCTATTATATTTTTTAGAAAATAGGAGACGAACGATATCTCAAGTTGTTTTTTAATACATTTCTAAGCTTGATTAAAGTCATTGAGATTATAAGTATTTCATTTATAGCAAGTAGGAATTCAATAATAAATCTAGAAAATAAAAATGGAAGGTTTTAAATTATTAAAAATATACATTAATCAATTTAAGTTTAGGTATTGAAAAAAAAGCCGCTGATAATATATTTTATAATAATTTATTTTTTGCAGTGCACTATTTGCATGTGTTTATATTGCACACACACACTTCCACACCAAGGAGTATAGAGCCTCACGCACGACCATCAAAATGTCAGACATCTGTCATTTAATTTAATTTGACTTCACTTTGCTTTCATTTGCCCTCCTTCCCTTTTCTTTTTTCGCCCTGCCTTGTGCGCTTTCTTTTCCACTGTCTTCTACTTTTTCCACCCTATAGCTGAATATATATATATAGCTATATAGAGCGGGAGGCGGCAAAGTTGAGCACAAAACGTGTAATTTCGCGGGAGGTGTTTGGTGGAGGTGGAAGGGGATTCCCTGAGGCTGCTAATATTACTTCGTTTTGTTGTTGGTCTTCTAGTTGTTGTAGATACTAGTTGCTTTTGTTGCTATTATTATTGTTGTTGTTGTTGTTGCTGGTGTTAGTGTGCAACGTACGCGAGCTCAATTTAAATCGCTTTGCGTTTGCTGTGTGAAAACGGTAAAAAGCGGGGAGGAAATGCCAACAGAGCGGGGAAAGTGCAAAAACTTTCGCGGGAAATGCATCGATCAATGAATACCCTTAATAGGGTTAGTAAAAAATTGGAAGAGCTAAAATAAATGGTTGAGTGTTGGATGGATAACGAACCGCAAGTGGAAGTGAATGATTGTATAAATAAAATTCGCCAGGCAGTTTATTGATATCCGTAAGCTGATAGATGGCTTAAATTGTCAGTGAAAAGGAAGAGCTTATTAAAATATTGCTGATTTTATTGAATGGATAAATGAGATAATAGTTTTTGTATATATATTGAAAGAAAAATTTTAAATATTGAAATGTTCATTTTTGAATCAGAAAGTATAAGACAAGGAAATCATTGACTGTCAAAATAAGCAACATTAAAATTAATGATAAATTAAAGAAATTCAAGTTTTATTTAGATAATAATTTCAGGTCTATAAAAATTTAAAGTGTCAATGAAATGAATATTAAGATGAGCAATTAATTCTAAATTATTTATTTTTGTCTTAGAACATCACATAAATTTGTGGAAAAAAATGTCTTATATTAAGAAATAATGGACTAAAAATGGCTCTAAAAATAAGCCTACCAAGGTAATCATTTTTATTTTAAGGAATGTTTCCTTTAAGAGTTTTGGTTTAATTTTTTGTATGAAGTTGATTAGCTTTAATCTTGTGGACCCCATATTTTAGAGAGAGTACCTCCAAAGACAACTTGGCTTGATTTGCATGGGAAATTTTATTTCTTTGAGCGTAAAACTAAAATAAACTAAACTATGTAAAGGCACACATCATTTGCGTTGATCTAAAACTAATTAAAGTGGTAAGCCTGAGGAACGTGGAGACATCCCTTTTGGCTTGGCTCATCCTCGCCTCTCCTGCTGCTTGGCAATGGCTTTCAGTTGCTTGTTGCGGTGCTTGAGTTTCTGCTGAAGTTGCCGCTTGAACTGGGTTTCTCTGCTGAGGATCTGCAGATCTTCGGGGGTGCAGCTGGACAATCGTTGCTTCTGCTCGGCGATCAGCTCCTTGGTCAACTGGATCTTGGTCTTGGACACTTGGATGTAGAGCATCTGGCGGCGCTGCAGCTCCTGGCGATGCAAAAATAAAGCGTAGGCAACTGATGCTTCCATGCTGGCGGCTTACTGGCGAATGAATGCCAGGTCTGAGTGTGGGTGGGTTTTTAAACGACCTCCACAGGACCTCCTATCGTTATGCCATGCATGCCAGGTCTTGTTTATCTCGTTTTTTGCCTGTCCTGCGGGTTTTCCGATTTTTCGCGGCCAATCCTTGGCGGTGCCGTTTTACCTGCGTGCCGGACTTAGGTCTCTCTAACGCAGGTAACAGATGGTTTACCGGCCCAAGTTTTCTACTCTCCTGCTTGTTCTTCGTGCCGGTACGTTAATGCACTTTAGGCCAAAATCCTCCTCCATATGGACGACAGGCGATGCTTTGCCTAGCGGATCCCCCTTGGCAAAGTTAGGTAAACTTTTGAAAGGAATATGGGTTCGAAATGGAAGGGGGATTTGCGGGGTGGCAGGCAGGCAGACAAACTTCTTGGTCATGCAGCTCCGCAACCGAAATCCAATGCAATTTTTGGGCCATCCATCTAAAGGACACCGCCACCCTCTGGACCCACTCAACGACCGGATGGCACGCACGTCCTGGACAGCCCGGCATATGCATCAATAATTTTTGCCAGCATGCGACTTCACTGCGGGAAAATCCCATATGAAATGATGAATGGTATTCCGAATTTATGATTTTCAATGAATAATTTTTAAAATCAGTAAAATAAATCTTAACTTAAATTTAATGTAAAACGTATTGTTATGAAACGCGTAGGAGAAAATTCTTAATAAAATATTTATAACGGAGTATAACAAAGGGCAAATAAATCCAAATGCTACACAAGAGTATAATTTGATTGTTAAATGATTAAACAATATCCTTGCTTCAATATTAATTATTAGTTACACAGACAGGTCCAGTTTTATTAATCTTTTATATACCATATTTTTTAAGTCAATAGGTAATACATGTTTTTTCTGCTGTTTGTTTTTCTTAACTTTAATAATAGTCTATAGTTTTACTTACCTCTTTACAATTACAATTAACAAATCAGGAATAGATAACGTTTGTTTCGATATACTAACAAATTTAACAATGTATAATGTGCTCTATTTTTTCGAAACTTTAAGCCTCTAACCAAAGTATTGTTAGAAACAAGTTGTTTTCTAATATTTTGTAACATTTTAGACATTTAAAGGGACTTTGCCTTGACGTTTGATTTTTTCCCATTTCCAGAACCATTATTTGCAACTTTTAAACTCTTTTTTCCGTGTTGACCCGACCTATGACCCCGACCCGGAACCCGATGCGAACCCGGACCCGTGTCTAATGCCACACCAACACTTTGAGGTTTATTAATTCGCATGAACTCCGTCCGGCTGCTCGACCCTGCGCTCATTTTTCATGCTGCCCGGGCAACGAAAGCCACAATTAAAAATTGCTTATGAACGGAAATGGCAGACAAAACCCGAAAAACTGCCGCCCGTAGAGAGATAGAAGATGAGCCAACTTCCCAGCATAAACCATAATCTGAGCCCTCTGAAGCTCTCAAAGTTTTCCGGGTGGAATTTTATGAAAAACTTAATTTCCTATTTCCCTTTAGTTTCCGCCCAATTCTCTCTACTGCTCCATTCCATTTAGTGTAAACTGTGCGCATCATTATTTTGAAATTTTTGACACTTTTTTCGCTTGATGGTGCTAAGCTACTTGTAAATCAAGCCAAGCTCATGCGTCTTCTTCCAGCTAGTGTCTATTTTATATAGTATATATATATCTGTGTGTGTCGGTGTGGGTGTGTGTGTGTGTCACATTTCCGGCGGAAGTGAAAGCAGAAAACTTGGTTCGTTTTCCTCTTCGCTAAATGGCATCAAGAAATGCAGCATCGTCGCCTCTGAGGAACACAGAACAGAGACATTGACTGATGATGATGAGCACGATGATGTAAATGGGATTTTAGTGCCGCACATGACAATAGTAAACTTCTTCAGCAGCCGGAATCATAAGCTGTGATGGCTCTGTTCTGATCTGCCCTCCGCCCCGAGCTCTTGTGACATGCAAGTAAATTGCCTTGGTAAATTTATTGTGCAATTACAAGGAAATCTAATGAACAAAGCGAAGGATGCGGTGAGGAAAAAGTGCCAGAATCGGATGAAGGCACTCAATTCTGGTTACAGTAACTGGAGAGGTGGGAGTCTTCACAGGTTGAATATATATATATGTATTTTAAGTATACTTGTAACAAAAATGAAAATATTTAAATTTAACCGGATCTCCAACGATTTCACAAGATATAAAAGTTAAAATAAAAAAAAATGAAAATGTGCACCCAAAATGGAAGATGCGTTGATAAGTCTCAGGAAATATAAATATAAATCCGTTAAAGTAAATATATTTTTAGCTTGAAGTGATAAGAAGCCAATATGATTTCCATCCTTATTTTACTCATTATCTCCTACTTTTGTTTCAGTTTGCAAGGAAAAGTAGGCAATCGCCTGTCCTCCGTCCTCGACATGGCCTTCCCGCATATCCTGGTGCTACTGCCCCTCATTTGCTCCGCTCAGCTCAGCTCAGCCCTCAGCCTGCCGAACATGACCTCAACGGATGTCGTCGCTGCCGGCGGCGGCATTTCGCCAATCCTCGTGGCAGGAAATCCCAGCAATCTAGGCGGCAGCAACATAAGTCTGACCGGAGGCGGTGGATTGGCCGGCAGCAATCCCGGTGGACAATCAGTACCGGATTCGGGGGGCGGTACCTCTGCGGGCGGTTCGCCGGCGGGCGGCAGTGGCGGTGCCGCCGGCAGTAGTAGCGGTATCGGCGGCAGCGGCAACAACTCTGCCATGGTCCAAGGACAAAAGAACAGTCCGTACGAGAAGTGTGCCGGTCCTGGGGATCCGGGTCCCTGTAAGCAGTACATCTACAAGTGGCGCTACGAGCCAACCACAAACGAGTGCACCAACTTCATTTGGGGCGGCTGTGAGGGCAATCCGCAGAACCGTTTTGGCACCGAGGCGGAGTGCCTCTTCCACTGCATCGGCGGGTCACGTAAGTCTAAAGAAGTCATTAGGCCAACAAAACTATAATTTAACGCTTTATTCGGCTTAATTTAAAGGAAGGAAAAATACAAAATTAATATTATACATTTTAGCACTGCAGCAGGTGCTTTAATGCATACCACCATACATTTTATTAAAAATATATAACATTTTTATGATCATATTTTAAAGTTATTTAAAATCACATATTTTTGTGGCCCTTCGTCGTTCTCACAGTTTGCATAGGCACGTTAAATATGCTCAATAAATAGCAGGGAATATTTATAAATGTGCCAGTCAAACACCCATCGTTAAATAATTAAATCAAACTTCCCACAGTTAAGTAACTACACAATTTACAACAGTTTCATTAAATTATGAGTAAAGTAATAAAACAAAAGATTTTTTGAATGCACTTTCATGCCAAAATATGAATTGAATTATACAATTTAAGTGTATTTAAGAGATTGTAGTTATTTGTTTTGAGAAAGCAAGTCAAAATAATTTGGAAATAAAACAAATAAAAATTAACACTTTTTTAAAAACAAACCTTTACTCTAAACGATGTGTGTCAATTAATAAATGAGGTACATTTTCTTGGTCAAAAGTGGTAATGTCAAGCCTTTCATAAGCTAATGCCTAATTATTTACTAAACTTATTAATAAAATTCCAAAAGTAAATATTTAATTTGTTTGTGAGAGACATTATATTGGTCAGTAGTCAAATAACTTCCCACTTCGAGGTTTGATCCTAATATAATCCCAATTGACGTCACATCTCTTGCAGACACTCTGCCGCCGTTCCTGCAGTCCACGACCCGTGAGCCCAGCACCACGGAGAGTTCCATGCTCCTCGGCTCGCCGTACACCCAGAGTCCGGCCCATCCGCCGGACGGAATGGGCGGGGCCGAGGGCGGGGAGGGCACCACGCCCGTGCCCATCGAACAGCGCGGCCCCGAGCTGACTTTCGCGGAGACGGGCCAAGGCAAAACTTTCATTTTCGCCAAGAACAACACGTTCATCCAAATGGACGGCGACATCATACAGACATTTCAATTAAGGTGAGTGGACTGGGAATGACCACCTGGCAGGTGGCAGCCCCAGGTCATTTGCATGCCACTTCAACTCGCCGCGCTGCAACGCCGCGTCATTTAGCGGATTGTTGTCCTTTCGGCTCAAAAGTGCTTGATTCCCTTAACCCCAGAAAGTGCATGAGTTTCGAAAGTAACAATTTGCAGAAGGTTTTAATTTATTATAAGATTTGGAAAACATCACTTATGAAGGTGTCCAAAAGTATGCAACATACTGCTGCGTTCCTTTACATTTAATTTCAAAGCTATATTAATTTCTGTTTTGCCAAAAACAATTTTTGGTGAAATTAACATATAACAAATTAAAAAGTATGATGTGATTTTTTGTTTTTATACCTTGAAGTCTCTGGCAATCTGATGCTTATATGAGCAACAAGAAATCTTTATAAAAGAATTGGAGTAGTTACAGCCACGTTAATAACCATTCTTATTTATTAATTTTACGTCGTCAAAAAATAAGTTTCACTAAGGCATTAATAGAAAAAATATTTAGGTGCAACAATTACTATTCGGGAAAACTAGTCCGTAAAATGTTTTCCATGTACTCTGATTGCGTGACTAATGTTATTTACACAAAGTCTGTAGCGAAATAGACAACAATTAAATCTGGCATTTGAGTGAGCGGGAGTAAAACCTAACAAATCGAGCTGACAACCGAGGTGATTATGTCTAAAAAATGTTTTAAGCTTTTCATAAAATACTGTGATACCTAAGGGGTTAATGGTGAGAGCTGTGTACGAGGGCAATTAGCCAAACTGACGTTGCCTTCACAGTTTGAAAATTGATTTTCTCTCAACAATTTTCTTAGGGGACTGGCATCTTATCGGTAGCTTACACAAAACAAACAAAAGACCAGCAGAAAAGGCAGAGCAGCAAAAAAGCGTCCCAAAAACCAGGTCAAAAGTTAATTTTCTGCTCAATTGCCAAAACCTTTTCGCC